TGATGGAATTGTACTGGCTCTCTGCATCCAGGGGTGAGTGGAGAGGGACACCTGCCCCTGCAGAGAGAGGGGGCAGAGCACTGGGGTTCCTAAGCATGGCCTTACAATTCCCATCCTGTGTCCTGCACATGCCAAGATTGTGAATGAGAGGCACATCTTGTCCCTTTGCTCTTTCAAATTGACAAAGTGTGAATCTCTTTGGCCTTCCCATCTGTCCTGGCTCCTTCCCTGGTCACCAGAGAGGAGCCTGGCCTCCTGCTCAAAGGGCCTGGCTTCCCCATGAGACTTGGGCTCTGCTCCTGGGGTTGGTGTGTTGAGTCCTGGCCCAGTGAGGCTGTGGGACTGCAGCTCCTGGCCCAGCACAGTGCTGGGAACCCCTTGGGAGCACATTGCTGTCCCTCATTGACCTCTCTTTGTTCTCTGGTCCATTACAGGAACAAGCTGTACAGTGGCTCTGCTGACTGCACCATCATTGTGAGTACCCAGGGCCCCTGCTCTCCTCTGGGGTGTGAGATCCACAGCCCAGCCCCAGGCTGCTGTAGGGCAGGGACCTGCATCCTCTTTTGTCTAAGGCTCTTCAGCTGCCAGTGGTCTAAGACTGATAACCCTGCGTGTGCTTTACACCCTGCCTTCAGCCAGCTTGCTCCTGGGTTGGATTTGGCTGTTTCCTACAGTATTTCCCACTCCCTGCTCCTGCATGGGGAGCAGGAGGCTGGTGCTGAGCTGGGGCAGGGTGATCAGTCTGTAGCAGGCTCATACAAGTGCCCTCTCCTGTGTGTGATTCCCTGCCTGCAGAGGCAAAGGGAAAGGGCTCCAGCACAAGGGGCCTGCCCCTCATGCTCATTCTTCTTCTCCTTTGCAGGTGTGGGACATTCAGAACCTGCAGAAGGTGAACACGATCCGAGCACACGACAATCCTGTTTGCACTTTGGTCTCCTCACACAACATGCTGTTCAGTGGCTCTCTCAAAGCCATCAAGGTAAAGCTCTGGGGTGGTCTGGTTGGGGACCAGTGGTACATTGGCAGGCAGCTGGGTCCAGACAGGAAGAAAGTGGCACTTTGGTGTGTAGGTGACCTTGTTGTTTGTGTGAGCCACACAGAGAAGCACAGCTCCAAGAGCAGCCAGCACTGCAGAGGTTTAGCCCTTGCTCTGCTGAGGTCAAAGATGTTCTGGGACTTGGCTGAAAACCACTTTTTTCCTTCAAACTCTATGAACCTGAGGCTGCAGGGGGAATATCTTGGCAGTTCCTGAGTGTGTGTGTCCTTGGGCCCCCAAGAGACCTTACTCAGACCACTGGGAATTGTGCCTGCGGTCCAGAATCGGCTGGGGACCCAGGCTCTCTGTTTTGAAACCCCCTCCAGAGGATCATGAATCTGCATTCTTTACCTAAAGCATGCAGAAATCAGGGAACAGCTTTGCAAGTTGCCCTTTAAAGCTTTGGCTGGATTCCCTTGGTTCTGCTTCCAGCTCCTGGTGTGAGCTTATGGGACCGTCCGTCTGTAGGAAGGCACATGCTCTTTTCTTCATCTAGGGCCTGGAGGAGCAATGAGACAGCCCTGAGCAGAAGGAGAACCTGGGGCCTTTTCTTTTGTTATCCTCAGCCACTTTCTGCCAGAGGAGCTGAGCAGCTCTGCTTGGAATGGGGAGTGAGCTCTGCTGGTCCCTTTGTGCTGAGGGTTTCAAGCGTCGTTTTCCAGGAGCTGTGGGAATGGAGCTTTGGACAGGCTGGGAGTGTAATCCATTGCAGTTCTTTACTGTAGGTTTGGTTTAGGGTTCTCTGCTAGGGAAGGGGCTCTGCCAGTGATAATGCAGGCTCCGAGCTGGCTCACCCAGGCCAGTAGGAACATGCTTATTCAGCACAGTGATTGTGTGGTTTATCTGCGAGGCAGTGGGTTCAGGCAGTTCCCCCCAGGCAGAACCAGCACAAGGTTCCCCATAGTGAGCTTAGGGCTTTGTGCTGGCCGGGCAGTGCTGGAGGCTGCTCCAGTGCCACTGAGAGCCTCCTGCATGTCCGTGTGTCTGTCTGTGCTTGCTGCAGGTCTGGGACATTGTAGGTACCGAGCTGAAGCTGAAGAAGGAGCTGACAGGCCTCAACCACTGGGTGCGGGCGCTGGTGGCTTCTCAGAACTATCTCTACAGTGGCTCCTACCAAACGATCAAGGTGGGACCCTGAGGCTGGTGCCAGTTGTAAGTCAGGTTTTGGTGCCATCCAGGACGGGGTTGTGTGCACAGGCACACACAGAGGGGGTGCGGTCTCCCAGCTTCTTCAGCCCTGATGTTCAAAGCTGGGCAGTTAAATAAGGTAACAGGACTTTGCTCACCGGTACTGACCATTCCCAGCTGGATACACCTGTGATGTGGGCACACAGGGAGCCAGGCTGACTCAGTGCTGCAGAGTAGCTTCAAGGGAGCTCCGTCCTGGAAAAGGGTCCCTGCATGGGTCTCATCCTGCCTCTGCTCCGGCTTCTCTTTCAGATCTGGGACATCCGCAACCTGGAGTGTGTCCACGTGCTGCAGACGTCAGGAGGCAGCGTCTACTCCATCGCTGTGACCAACCACCACATCGTGTGTGGCACCTACGAGAACCTCATCCACGTAAGGGCTGAGGGGTTGGAGGCATTGCTTGGCTTGAGGCTGGGCGAGGAGACGGGTGCTTGTCTCTGCCTGTCCTCTTCATGGCACAGCACCCACCCTGAAGATGCGCATGGAGGTGGAAACGCTCTGGGGGGAGAAGCTGGTGGCCTGCAGCCTGCTGCAACCTCCAGGCCCTGCTCTTATCTCACAGGTCTGGGATATAGAGACAAAGGAGCAGGTCCGCACGCTGACCGGGCACGTGGGGACAGTCTATGCCCTCGCTGTCATCTCCACACCGGATCAAACCAAAGTCTTCAGTGCATCGTATGACCGGTCTCTAAGGGTACGTGGCCAGGGCTGTGCAGCTGCATCTGCAGGGACAGCCTTGGAAAGGAAGGTTGGGGACTCCTCATCCCTTCATCCTCCTCCCTGCATCTTCACCCCTGCATCCTCATCCCTTCATCCTCACCCCTGCATGCATCGCATCACTGGTGTCACACAGCATCTCCCATCCCTCCTGGTGCTCAGGGCTGTGCCAGAGCCCTGTGCCACTCGCTTGGCTCACACCTCCTGTGTCCCCATAGGTGTGGAGCATGGACAACATGATCTGTACCCAGACGCTGCTGCGACACCAGGGTAGTGTCACTGCCCTCGCAGTCTCCAGGGGCCGCCTCTTCTCCGGCGCCGTGGACAGCACTGTAAAGGTTGGTTCCCTCAGGCTTCTCCTCCATGGTTTGGTCTCTTCCAGCCCTAGGACTTGGGGCATTACATGAGTTAGGAGCCATCTTCAAACAAAGAAGGGATGGTTCTCAATGGGTGGGAGATTTAATTCCTGGCAGAGGGCATTGTGGGTGCTGGAAGCCCAAAGGGAAGCTCCACAAGAGGCTGAAGAGAAGCCCACAGAGCTGCTCGGAACAGTCGCTACCATGGTTCTTGTCTCTGCACCGCAGGTCTGGACGTGCTAGCGAGAACACCACCCTAGTCCTGCACACTGAAAGACCAAAAACTCCTGCCCTCCGTCGCCTGCTGGGTGACACCACCACTCCAGAGCAACTGCTGCAGCTCCTCTCCACACCGACCACTGCCCGCTGCTGCCCACCGGCCGGTTCCCTCCCCACGGACCCCGCTGGCAGCTCTCAGGATGGGTCCAGGCCATGGCTGCTCCAGATGCTCCCTCAGATCCGCTGTTGTGGTGCCAGCACCTCCATCACCACAGGCTGCACTCCTCTGCCTGCATCTCCCCTGCCAGGGAGCAGCCTCTGGGGCCAGGGCCAAGCCTCCAGCCCATGGGGCACCAGTGTGGCTGCAGCACAGCCCTTGGGCTACCGATGGGACCGGATGGCTCAGTTATCACAGGCAGGAGCCAGCCCAGCCAGGGCAGTGACACTGGGAGGAGGCTGTGCCCTTCTCAGTGGTGGAACTGAGCATTAGGCCTTGCCCTGGGTTGGACCCTGACCCCTTTTCTGTCTCTAGTATTTAATTTTACTGCCACGATGTCAGGCTGATCCGTGTGGGAAGAGGTGTTTCCTTGAGTAGCCAGGTACGATTTTTATGCCACAGCTAGTTCTCAAATCAAATAACACAAGCCCATTGTTCACCACCATGTAATAATGGTCTCCACATTAAAAAGACTCCGTTGCATTTTTACTCACATTTTCTACTGTTTTTAAGATTGTAATATAGATTTGATTATTTCTTCATTGACAATAAAAGTGGAAAGAGTTGTTCCTGCCCAGTGTGAGTTATTGCAGGCTCGTGGTGGGGACCAGTGGCCAGCACCAGGCCTGGGGCACCTCCTGCATCCATCCTGTGCCTGGTGCTGCTGAGAGCTGCACTGTTCATCCCGGAGGGGTGCAGGGACATGGGGAGGTGAGTTCATACAATCCCAGCTTGGTTTGGGTTGGAGAGGACCTTAAAGCTCCTCCAGCTCCAACCCCTGCCACGGGCAGGGACACCTTCCACTGGAGCAGCTTGCTCCAAGGCCCTGTGTCCAACCTGGCCTTGAACACTGCCAGGGATGGGGCAGCCACAGCTTCTCTGGGCACCCTGTGCCAGCGCCTCAGCACCCTCACAGGGAAGAGCTTCTGCCTAAGAGCTCCTCTCAGTCTCCCCTCTGGCAGGTTAAAGCCATTCCCTTTGTCCTGTCCCTATGTGCCCTTGTCCAAAGCCCCTCTCCAGGTTCCTGTAGCCTGTTTAGGCACTGGAGCTGCTCTAAGGTCTCCTTCAGGCTGACCAAGGGGCTGCTCAATCCATTCTCCCCCAGTCTCCATGCTGGGGCTTGCCCCATGGTTGCTGCTGTTGTCACCCACCCCAGTGTTGCGCCTCACAGTGCAACACCCACCACGACACAGCACCCATAGCACCCACAGGCTCCATCTCACCCCATTGCTGCTGCCCTGGACGCAAACAGTGCTGGCAGCCCGCAGGGTTTTAGTTTCTTTTATTTTTCTTTAAATAGTTGTTGCCAGACTTGGTATAGGAGCAAACTTCTTCACAGCACCACGAGCCACCTACTATTCAGAATAGGAAGAATAAGACGAGTAGAGGTGAAATCTAAGCACAGGAGAGCGGGGAGAAGCACCAAGATGCATAGCTCGACAGATGGGATACGATACAGAGTCCATAACTTAATCATAAAAAATATATATATGTATATATCCATCATGTAGAACTTTATGGGGATTTCTGGTTTAGATACATCATTTTTTTTTTCTTTTTCAACAGATATTTTCAGGCGAGTGATTTTTTTTTTATCATTATTATTATTTTTTTTTGCTATTTTTAAAGTCTTTTTTGTCTTTTTTTTTTTGGTTGGTTTTTTTTTTTCCTCTTTTGTAAAGAAATGCCAAAGTTGTGCCAAACACATCTGGATCAGCGACCACAACGGGAGGGAGGGCAGAGGGCAAGGGGGCGGATAGAGAGGAAGAGGAGGAAGAAGGCAGGGGGATGGAGACCACTGCGTAGGCTCTGGTAAAGAAAGGACCAGCAACACTTTGGACCCCACAAGCAGAGAGATGCATTCATCAGGACTCAAGCGACTGAACCAGACTCCAACTCCAGTTTATACAGGAATATACACCGGGATGAACACCCGAAGCACACGCACGCTCACACGCACACAGACACCCCACGCACACCCCAACGGATGCCATAAGGAACGGATAGAAAGAAACCCAACCCAAGCCTGAAGACGCTCCAAAGGAAATGAACCACCTCCAGGAGAAGGAGTAACAAAAACCTCCAGAAAACAAGGCACATCCTTTGAGTTCGGAACGGTGGAGCAGAACAGAAAGACGCCGACACTGAATCCCAACGGAACGAAACCGCTTGCACGAGCCTTCCACCCGGAGAACAGGTAAATATTGTGCTACTCGGAGAATGAGTTTGCCACAAGACACACAGCTTAGTAATAATCTAATAGTGTTTTGTTTCTTCTTCTTCTTCTTCTCAAGCTAAAATCCAGTTTTCTCTTGATTTCTTTTAAACTGCTTTATATATAATTGCTAATACTTTTAAATCTTTTAAATATATATTTGTTAAAGTTTATTCTTTTTATTATCTGGGGAGGGGGTGTGAAGGGGGAGGGAAATCTGCTTTATATCTTTCTTTCCTTCCCCTCCAATAAATTAATACTTCTTTATAGCTTATCACTGTCCTGTCCCCCCCTTTGCGAGGAGGGGCCGGGCAGGGGCACGTCCCGCTGCCCCCCAGCATCCCTCCATGGGGCGGCAGCCCCGGCCCCTGCGCCGCCGCCGACCGCAGCGGAGGGGGAAGGAAGAGCACTGACAAAGGAAGAGTTAAAAGAAATGAGGAGAAAAGAAACCCAAGTGCATTTGCCCACCCGGAGCCGTCACCCGCGGTGCCATCGGCCGGTGGCACACGGCGCCGGGGCCGCCGCGCCAGGCAGGGCTTGTGCTACATTCGCGGTGGGCCGCGGCACCGGGGCTGTCGAGGACCCCCCCCCCCCCCTCACCGGCACCGTGTCCGTCCGGGATGCGCTGCTTTGCTGCTTCTGGTGTTGGGTTGGTTTTTTGCTGCTGCAAAAAGCTCTGCCGGAGCCGCGCCGAGTCCGTGAGCACAATCCTGAGGTATCTTCTTCTTTGTGCAAACCCCGAGGGACGGGATGTCCGGGAGGGGACGGCTGTACAAAGGGGACGGGGAGGAGGGCGGCGGGGCCGGGGTTGGGGGGGGTCGTGGATCGTTGTGCCCTTGTGCCCACGTAAGCCCTGAGGTTCGGGGGGCCCTGGCGCCCCTCACTCCAGCATGGCATCCAGCTGGTCCGCCAGGTCGTCGAACATGCTGCCGATGTCGTCCAGGATGCTCACGGTGCTCTTCGACTCCGCGGCAGAGCTGGGTGAGAGGTGGGGATAGGTCATGGACGTGTACGGGGGCAATTGCACTGTACACCCCCTCTCTGCTCCATGCCGTGTCCCTCCTGCCCCTTCTGCCCTGCAGAGCTCAGCCCCAGGTCCCCAGGGTCACCTCCTCAGTGTCACCTCCCCAGCATCACTGCGTGGCTGGGTCCATGCTCTGATTTATGGTCCCCTAATGTCACCTCTCTAAGACAGTGCACCCACGTGCCAGATCTCCCTGTCTGTTCTGCTCCAGCACCACGTTCCCCAGTGTCACCTTCCCATGGGTCCAACCCAGCCCCAATACGCTCCAGTTCAAGGTTCTCCATTGCCACCTCTCCAAGACAGTGCACGCAGTGCCCGGGTATCCCTGCCCATTCTGCCCTGGAACTGGTGCCCTCTCCAGGGTCACCTCCTCAACACGGTTCCAACCAAAGGCTCGTGATGCTCTTGAAGAGCATCCTTCCAACGTCACCCCAGCACAGGCCCGCTCCCACCATGGTGGCACAGCCCAAACCCCCATTACCTCCTGTCCCCCTCCATCCCCATGCCCATCACAGCCCCACGCGCTCCCCATTGTCACCGGCCACCCTCAGTTCTTACTCTGGCGCTTGACTGTCCTCCTGCTTGATCTTCTCCTCCACAGCCTGCAGCGCCGCGGCCAGGGACGCGCTCGTCTCCTCCAGCTTCTGCTGCGCCAGCTCGGAGCCGGCGCTGTCAACGGAAGGGCTGGCGATGGCGGAGCGCGGCGGCTTCACCGGCACGGGCTGCGCGCCGGGCGACAGCGGCTTGGCGGGGCTGGAGCACAGCGAGGGCGGCGTGCTGGACGGCTTGGCCGTGCCGGCACCCAGCTGCCGTGCTGGTGACGGGGTCGGCGTCGAGCCGGCGCTCACCGACTGGATGGCGGCGTGGGGCTTGGGGGGCTTCGGCGCCGTGGGGGGCGGCGTGGGCTTGGGGGACACCGGCGGCGGCGTGCCATGGACCCGCTTCACCTCTGCGGAGAGAAGGGGCACAGGGGTGGTGGGATGCGCGGTGCCACCCCACTGGGGAGCCGGGGGGGGGGGGTTGGCACCTACCTGGGCTGCCGGGGCTCGGGATGGGCACCTTTTTGGGGACCGGTGCGGGTGGCCCGGGGACCTTCTGCGGCAGCTGAGCCAGCACGGGCTTGGGGGACACCGGCGGCTTGAAGGGCTTCTTGTGCTCGACGGGTGGCGCGGCGTAGTCGGGGCCATCGGTGCGGGCAGCGGGCGGTGGGGTGGCGGGAGGCTCAGCCCCGCTCAGCTCCGAGGCCGGCCGCCGCTTCACGGTGCCGGTGCCGTTCTGGTAGACGGCGAGCGAGGCCGGTTCCAGCGCCGGCTCCTTGTCCTTGGCCTTGGGCCGGCGCTTGACGGTGTCAGACTCGGTGAGCACAAAGCGGACTCCATCCTGCTGGCTCTGCCGGGCCCGGATCCGGCGCTTGAGCGTGGCGCTGGCCTCCACCTTGGCCAGGTCCCCGTGGCGGTGCGCTGGGGACAGCCCCTCGCCCGCCTCGCCCCGCGCTGGCCCCAGCGGCCGCGGCCGCTGCTTGATGGTGAGGGTGCCCTCCTCGGCGAAGGGGATGCCGTCGGGGGAGCCGCCGCGCTCCACCCGCAGCCGCTCGCCGGCACCGTCGGTGCCCGTCTCTGACCGCACGCTGTCGGCGCGCTCGCGGCGGGCGGCTGCCACCAGCCCGGTGACGGGGCCGCTGATGGTCCGGCGCCGGTTCACCACCTCCCCATCCAGCCCGATGGCCTCCTTGTGCTTGACGGTGGCCAGGACGGTGGCCACGCGCGCGCGGTCGGGGCTGCCCGGCGGGGGTCCCGGCTGCAGGTAGTAGCCATCGGGCGCCTTGGCCGGCACCGGGGCCCCGTGTGGCTTCTGCAGCGCCAGCGCCCGCGCACCACCACCGATGGAGGACATCTCCAGCATGGCCGCGATGCTGCGCACGCTGCCCGCGCTGCCCGTGTCCACGCTGCCGCCCAGGTCGCTGGCCCGACGCTGCTCGCGGCTGCTCTCCCCATCGGCGGCGGTGGGGGCCCTGGTGGCCGCCTCTCCTTCGCCATCCTTGGGGAAGTCCTCGGCCATGCCGGCACTGGAGATGGCGGAGCTGGAGCGCTTCGGCGGTGGCGGCGGCGGCCCCTTCTTCTTGGGCCGGACGGCGAAGGACTGGCTGCGGTTGACGTTCTTGTCGCCGCCAGCGGGGGCCCGCACCGAGTGGCTGCGCCCCACGCGCCGCTGCACCGTGGCGTAGGGCCCCGCGTCGGGCACCAGCAGCTCGTCCCGCTCCTGCTCGCTGTCGGAGGCCGCGTAGCGGTTCAGGCTGTGCGCCCGCTTCTTCGGCCGGCCCGGCTCCTCCTCGCCCTCGCCCGCGGGCGGCAGGCACAGCACCGGCACCGACACCGGCAGCACGGGCACGGCCGCGGGGCTGCCCTCGCCCTCGGCGGGCTGCGGCAGGACATAGGCGAAGCCGCGGTGCGTGGGCGATTGCGGCAGCGAGCGCGGCGACGCGGGGCGCTCCCCCGGTGGCAGGAGCTGCGGGGTCGGCTTCACCTTAGCGGTGGCGTGCGGCACCGATGGGCCCTGCGGGGACGGGGGACGCGGCTTGCCGGGGGTCTGCGGCGGTGTCAGCTGCCCGCTGGCGGCAGGGAAGGGCTGCCGGGGCTTGCCGGGCACGGGCGGCACGCTGGCGCGCTTCACCGGGTGGCCGTGGCGTGGCGGCCGCCCCTCCTTGTGCGGCACGGGTTGGCCCTCGCCAGCCCCATCGGCCAGGTACTCCTGGCTCTTGGAGATGGCCGCGGCGGGGGCACCGCGGGGGCCGTCCCCCAGCAGCTCCTGCGAGCTGCTCATCACCCTGGCGCGGCCGCCCAGCCCCGTCACCGGGCCCGCCGGGTTCGCCGCCTTCTCCGCGGGCTCCTCGGGGCCCTCGGCCGTCATGGCCACCTGCAGCTCACTGCTGAGCTCGCTGTCCTGGAACGTGGTCATCTTGGGTGACTGGCACTCGGGAGGCTCCGGTGGGGGGGACTCGATGGCCAGCACCTCCGGGCACGCCGCGGCGCCCGCCTTCCTCTTCAACGTGCCCGGCTCGTACTTGCCCATCTCGGCGCGCTGCAGCTCCGCCAGCTTCTTCACCGCCAGCATCAGCTTCTTCTGGTGGCCTGGGGGTGGCACGGGGGCATCAGCATCGCCACCGGGGATGGAGGCACCGCAGCGGGCGCAGCAGCACCGGACCTTACCCAGCTTGGTGATGCCGATCTCCTGCAGGTCCTCCCAGGTGATGTCGGTGATGAAGTCGATGTTCTCGTAGCCGTTCTCCACCAGCACCTTGTAGTACTGGGACAGGCCGATCATGGAGAGCCACAGCGCCAGGTTGGCCTGGGGGGTACACGGGGCACAGCTCAGTGCTGGCTGGCAGCACAGCACCCATGTCATGGTGGTGATCCCATCCTGCTGGACCTTAAAGCTCCTCCAGCTCCAAGCAGGGACCCCTTCCACTAGAGCAGCTTGCTCCAAGCCCCTGTGTCCAACTTGAGCACTGCCAGGGATGGAGCAGCCACAGCTTCTCTGGGCACCCTGTGCCAGCGCCTCAGCACCCTCACAGGGAAGAGCTTCTTTATATCCAACCTAAATCTCCCCTGTTTCACCTTGATGTTGGCACCATCAGGCACTGCCCAGGCTCATCCCCCTCTGCCACCCTTGCCCAAAGGGGACAGGGTGCAGGGGACCAGTTACCACCCTGGATGCGGCTTCCCCATCCCTGTCCCCACGCAGCCCCTACCGGTTTGTACTCCGGCAGCCACTCGGGGATGCTGAGGTTGTTGATCTCAGACGCAATCTTCTTCCTGTGCCCCGGCTTGGTGACACCGATGGCCGTGAGGTCCTGGGGCAGAGCGAGGGGTCAGGGCCACCCCACACCACTGGGCCACCCTCCCCGTGGCACCGCCAGCCCATGGGCTCACCTCGGGCGTCATGCGGCTGATGGTGGTGATGTCGTAACCGGCGTTGATGAAGTTGGGTGCATAGAGCTGCAGCTGGAACTTGCAGAGCCACTGGTACACGGCCTCCGAGCTCTGGGGCAGCGAGAGGGACAGCAAGGCTCAGGGCAGCCCCCAGGGATGGGGACCCATAACCTGGGCTGCCCCCGCATTCATCCGTGTGCCAGCAGGGTCTGTGCCATGGGGTGTGCAGGGGCTGGGGCCATGGGGTCACTCACAGCACTGGTTCATGGCACAGCAAAGGCACCAGAGCCGTGCCAGCATCACAGGGCTGCCACCTGCGGTGATGGGTGCTGGACCTGTGCCCCCCTCCCCAGGGTCTCCCCAGCCCAGTGGCCCCCACTCACCTTCCCCTCTGATGGTGGCTCCATTTTCTTCAGCTGGGGCTCGGCGGGGGGCTGGGGGGTGTATGGGGAGCTGGCCACGCTCTGCGACCTCGAGGCACCTACCGGGGAGTCACCGGTCACCGGGGCTGGACACCCGTGGGTGCCACCGCCATGGCCCCCAGGGCAGGCATGGGGCAGTGGCACCCACCCGGCACAGCAGTCCCGAGCACCCCGGGGTGCCCTGCATAGGGTCTGTTCCCTTGGGATGGGCAGGGGTGGTGCAGGGCACTGTGCCCAGGCACTGTCACTGCCAGGCAGCCCTGTCATTCCATCCTGGCAAGGCTGGCTGCACTGGCATGGGCCTCCAGCACCATGGTGCACACAGCTCCCAAATGCTATGGCACTGCTGCGAGCCCCCAGCCCAGCCCTGGTGCTGCAGGACTCTCCATCCAGTGCAGCCCTGAGCAGAGGGACCCAGCCAGAACCCCTTTAGGGCAGGTTTCCTGGCTGCCCAAAGCCTCCATCCCTGCTCCAGCCATGCCACTGAGTGACGGGGCTCATCCACCCGCTGCATCCCTAGGGGCCCAGCAGCACACACTGTCCTGTCCCCCAGGGCCCCCCAGTGCCCACCCACCCTCCAGCTCGTGCCTTTGCCAGCCCTGGGGGTGACGAGGGCTGCCCATAAGTTCCTGCCTCCTATTTCTGATGAGAATCAGCAAGAGCAGCCCCTTCCCCTGGCTGGGAATTGCATCCTCCCTGCATGTGTGCATCCGTTGCGTGCATCCGATGTGTGTGCGTGTGCATCCAATGTGTACATCCGATGTGTGTGCGTGTGCATCCAATGTGTACATCCCATGTGTGCGCGTGTGCGTCCGATGTGTGTCTGTGTGCGTGTATCCAATGTGCCTCTGTGCGTGTGCATCCTCCTTGCATGTGCATCCCTCTGGCAACTGCATCCCACTTGCGTGGGCATCCTCTTCACATGTGCATCTCTCTGCTGTGTGCATCTCCCTCACGTCTGCATCCCACTTGCGTGTGCATCCTCCTCTCCAGTATGTGCTTTCCCCCTCCTCCAGCAACGTGTGCATCCCCTCTGTGTATGTGCATCTCCCCTCTGTGTGCGCATCCCCTCCGTGTGTGTTCACCCCCTCTATACGTGCATCCCCTCTGTGCATGTATCCCCCTCCCCGTGTTCACATCCCTCCCTCCCAGGCTCCCATCCCCGCTGCATGTGCATCTCCGCAGCCCGAGCATCCCCCCACGCTCATCTCCCACGTGTGCATCCTCCTCGCATGAGCATCTCCCATCTGGTCCCCCCCACAAAGCTTCTGCCTCCCCCGTGCCGTGCCCGTGCTCCCCGCTGCCAGGGCAGCCCCCAGCCCTCAACCCCACCACCCCCCCCGGTTGTTGGTGCCGGCCCCGGCTGGGACTCCGGTGGGGCTGGTGGGGGGCCAGGGGAAGGGAAGGGGCCGGGGAGGAACGCTGCCGTCCCCTGCCCGCCGCGCCGCCCCCCTACCCCCCCCACGGGGCCCCCACTAACCGAGGCAGGAGAAGGCCTGGCAGCAGCCGAAAGGCGACAGAGTCATTTTTTACCCACACGTTTTCCTTCTGGCGACGGGCGCCGTGGCAATAAAACAAAAAGACAGATCCCTGGATCCACGGCGCGCCCGCGGCAGGGCCAGGGCTGCTCCTGCTCCGGCAGCACGCACCTGCGGGGATGTCCTGCGCCTTGGCCGGCCCATCGCCCACGGCACACTCTTGCGCAGAAGCCTTCTGGGAAAGGACGGTTGCCAGCAGCTGAAAAACACCCCGGGAAAGGGAGGAAGAGCAGGCAGGAGTGAGGCGGGTGCTGCCGGTGCCGCTGCGGGTGCTGCGCCCGGGCGAGGGTGGGCAGGGAGAGGCGCAGCGGATCCAGGCTGCGGCGGGGAGAGCGGCAGCAGCACAGATGGTGCCTGGCAGGCAGCGAGCGCCCGCGGCGCCCCGAATCCAGCCCGGCACGAACCCGGCACAGGCTGGTGGAGGGGGGACCCCCAGTGCAAAGCAGAGCCTACACCGACCTCAGTGCCCAGCAGCACTAAGGCAGGATGCCGGGGGAGATGGGGTCGTGGGTGCCTCAGGCCAGGACACCCCACGGTGCTGCACAAAGCACAACGTGCCGGCAGCAGCATCAGGATGCAGTGGGCAGAATGCCAATGGCAGCATCAGGATGCAGTGGGCAACATGGCGGCAGCAGCATCAGGATGCAGCGGGCAACGTGCCAACAGCAGCATCAGGATGCAGTGGGCAACATGCTGGCAGCAACATCAGGATGCAGTGAGCAACGTGTGCTGGCAGCAGCATCAGGATGCAGTGGGCAACATGGCGGCAGCAGCATCAGGATGCAGCGGGCAACGTGCCAACAGCAGCATCAGGATGCAGTGGGAAATATGCCAACAGCAGCATCAGGATGCAGTGGGCAACATGCTGGCAGTAGCATTAGGATGCAGTGAGCAACGTGTGCTGGCAGCAGCATCAGGATGCAGTGGGCAATGTGCCAGCAGCAGCATCAGGATGCAGTGAGCAACGTGCCAGCAGCAGCATCAGGATGCAGTGGGAAATATGCCAACAGCAGCATCAGGACGCAGTGGGAAATATGCCAACAGCAGCATCAGGATGCAGTGGGAAATATGCCAACAGCAGCATCAGGATGCAGTGGGCAATGTGCCAGCAGCAGCATCAGGATGCAGTGAGCGACGTGCTGGCAGCAGTTCACAGTGTGCAGTGTGCTGTGTGCTGGCAGCAGCAGGCAGATGCTCCATGCAGTGTGGAGCTGCAGTGGGCAGCACGCCAGCAGTGTGCAGTGCAGTGCAGAGGGACCCTGCAAGTGGCAGCAGAGACACAGCACACAGCTTTAGCAGGATCCTGCATGCACGGGCAGCCCCTGAAGCACAGCAGGACGTCGTGCCAGGTCTAAGCTTGCATCCTGGAGCGGACACTCTGGTGGCTACCATCAGTGACGCTCTGGGTGTGGGTAGAACCTACAGGACCCATCTGAGCATCAATCCCATCAGGGACCAAGGGCAGCTGCCAGGGCAGCAAACACCCGCACCAGTGCCAGTGCCCGGCCCGGAGCCGAGTGCCACCAGGGGCTGGCACAGCCACCTCGGGGCTCCTCTTACCTTGACACCTTCCGAGCCGGCGTGCAGGGCATGCGCCCCGCTGCCCGCGCTCTGCCCGCTGCCTGAGCTGCGCGCCGAGGCCACGCTGCCCGTGCTGCCCAGGCTGCTGCGGTCCCCACCTGCACAGAGAGGAGATGCCATGAGGGCACCGGACGCCGTGGCCAGGACGGGGCGCACCGTGTCCCGCCACCATGGGCACAGGGAGGGTCGTACCTGTGAAGGGTTTCCGCAGCACCCAGATCTCCTCGGTGGGAGCCGGTGCAGCCGATCCGCCCTGCGACGGCGAGAGGTGCGATGGGCTCATGTCGGCCCCGCGGGACCCTTGGTGGCAGAGCAGAGAGAGCAGCCATCAGGCGTGCGTGGCTCCGTGCGCTCGGGCTCGCAGCGGTGTGGCACGGGACGAGGCGACCCGGGGCCCTGGGGCCTATCACTGCTACATGCAGTGAAGGTGTGGGGTCCCCAGCCGTGCCCAGGGGTGCCAGCGCTGTCCCAGGGGCTGGTACCCCCCAAACAGCTGCCATAGGGTGACGGTGACCCCATCACACAGGGCATCTCCCTTCCCTGCTGCCAGACCTATGCCAGGATTCCCCAGTGCCCCAGCTCAGCCCGGGCAGAGCACAGGGACCGTGTTGTCCCTGTACAGAACAGGATGGGGACACGACCCAGTGCAGGGAAGCAAAGTTGAGCAGCGGGGACCAGGGTTCCCACCTCCCTGTCAATGGGCCAAGATGATGCTGGCCATGCCCTCGCGGCTGCCTGCACCCATCTGAGGGAGGACACAGGGGCTGTGTGGGGTCAGAAATGAGAGCTGAACCCCCCCTGTGCCCCCCAGGGTGCCCCATGGCAACCAGTGACGCAGCAGTGGGTGAGAGAATCCAGCCACCCCGAAGCACCGCTCCATCACCAGCTCACCGCACTGCCCACCTCTGCCACCTCCTGCTCGCACCAGGGCCAACAGGGATGGCCACGGAGAGAGCACAGCTCAAACCAGCACCAGATGAGATGGACACGAGCCCTGGGAAGCTTGGCACTGCCACAGCCCCAACACCAGCTTCAGTCATTGCCACCCCAACACCGCCTGCTTCAATTCCTTAAGCCCTTCTCCCCGTTAGCAGTCAGGGGGATGGTCCGAGGTGATGCAGTCACTGAAGAAGCACCAAGGGGACAAATGGCCACACCACGATCACGACGGGACATCCCTAAGCCGCACCGCGCTGCTGGGGTAAAGCTCTGTGCAACCCAGCACCGAGAGAAACCCTAGGGGAAAGGTTCTGCTCCCTTGTCTCCATCGCCAGCACAGCCAGCCCAGTGCTCTCCCAATGCAACCCACAGCACCAGCACCACTGGGGCTCAGGCAAACACCGCCGGTGCCAGAGAACCGGCGGCAGCCCCCAGGGCATGGCATGGGCTGCACAATGCAGACCCCCCACCAAATACCTGCTCAACACATAGACCTGCAGCACCCATCACCTGCCCACGCACAGCGATGGTCCCCAGTGTTTAGCTGAGCCCTGAGCCAGCCCCGAGAGCATCCCCCACGAGAGCAGCCCCAGCACCACAGCCCCAGCCCAGTTCGAGCTGCTCATGGGGTGCCAAACACTCGGTGGGAGAGGCTGCAACAGGCAGAGGGTCCCTGTGCCCGTGGCTCCCAGCTGGGCACGGGGCCTGGAGAGTGGTTTTGGGGGTCCCCATGCACAGGGGCAGGGTGGGAAGAAGAGCAGGGGCTGCAGCGTGCTGTGGGTGGGATGGGGGACACCAGGGAGGTGTGGGTGGGGTATGGGCCCCAGGGTGATGAGGGTGGGATGTGGGATACTGGGGTGCTGTGGGTGGGATGGGGAACACTGGGGTAGGGAGGATGGGATGCGGGACACTGGGGAGGTGTGGGTGGGATGCGGGACGCAGGATGGTGCAAGTGGGATGTGGGACACGGAACGGTGGGATGGGGGTCACTGGGATGCTGCGGGTGGGATGGAGAACATTGGATGGTGCAAGTGGGATGTGGGACATGGGATGGTGGGATGGGGGTCACTGGGGTGCTGCGGGTGGGATGTGGGACATGGGATCGTGGGATGGGGGTCACTGGGATGCTGCAGGTGGGATGTGGGACATGGGATGGTGGGATGGGGGTCACTGGGATGCTGCAGGTGGGATGTGGGACATGGAACGGTGGGATGGGGGTCACTGGGATGCTGCGGGTGGGACGTGGGGCACTGGGGATATCCCAACAGCAGCGCCATGGGCCCCGCCGTGCTACAGCAGCGCTGGCGAGGGGGTGCAGTGGAAGGGACATGCACGTGTACACGCATCTGCGCACGCACACGCCTGCATGCACGCACACACACACGCATGCCCACGCCTGCATGCACACCCACGTGCACGCACTCGCACACGCCTGCGCACGGCCCACCGCAGCATGGCAAAGGGAGGGGGGGAAGAGGCCGAGCAGAGAGAAAAGACTCGATCCACACGTTAAAGGCAAAGAAAGAAATCCATCGAGAGCACGAAGCGAGCGGTGAACTACCTTGTCCGTAAGGCGGCTCGTCGGCACTGCTAGGGGAGAGCCTGTGATAGCCAAAGGAACTGAAAAGAGTCTGATGGGAATGTGGTGGTGGAGGTGGAGGTGGAGGCAGGGAATGGAACGGATGGGACGAGGCGTCACCGTTTAGCACAGCAGCCCCGTAAGCCGGGAGCGGGATCTTTTGGTACTGTTGGGGGATTGTTACAGTCTCCCATGAACCTGATAATAAAACATAACAAGAGACAAAATGAAAAGAATCAAAATAACCGAGACCCGCTCAGCGCCACCAGAGAAACGGAAATAAACCCAAAGAACAGAGAAAGAAAAGGGGAAAAAACCAAAGCAGCGAACAAAAAAAAGTCACCAAAGGGACGTGGAGAAGCCAGAAGCGAGACGGAACCGATGCGGAGCCAAGGAGCAGCAGCGGGAGCTCAGCACAGGGCCCAGCCCGGCGCAGGGCACAGCCCATGGCACATCCCAATGCCCCACGGCGGCTCCCCATGAGGGCATGGATGTGGGGCACGCAAAGGCATCGTGGGAAGGGAAGGGCTGCAGCGCTGGCACCCCCGTGCCCAGCTGGCCAAGTGCTACTGCAGCCACCCCACTGCGCCCCATGCTGCTGCCCCACTGCACAGAGCCCAGGGCTGCAGCCGATGGGGTGGCTACAGACCCCCACACCCTGGAATCACTGCTACGGAGCCAAGTGGCATCCCAGGAGCCACGGATCTCATCCCACGGTACCAGCACACAGCGCACACGTTGAACCTCATCCCGTGGGACCAGCATGACCCACACATAGAGGGTGGCTCTACCCCTGCCTGGCCAGCACATGGCAGCCCTGTGCCATTCTCTACCCATGCCCCAGTGATGTGGCCACCCTCAAGAGCGTGTAGGGCCGGGCAGTGGGGAGCAAGATGGTTGATGTGGGACCTTCCAGTGCTGCCTGCAGAGGTACCAGCCCCACTGTGCTGCTCCTGGCAGCGGGGACAGCCACGGGGGACCACACATCCCACAGGTAACCTACAGGGATGGGGATGGGGACAGGCAGCCGCAGGGCAGGGGAGCAGGGCCCGATCCCTGAGACAGCCCCTGCTCCCCATGGGGCAGTGCCAGGTCCCTGGCATCACTGCCCAACCCCTGCTCAGACCCTGAGCACCAGGTCCCGTGTCCCCACCGCTGCACAGTGTCCCCCCAGACTGCAGTGATGTCCCCAGCTCTCCCCATGCACCAACCTCCTGGTGCACAAGTGACTCCCCAAGCCCAACACCAGACCTGGGGCTGCTGGCACCAAGCCCCCTGTGCATCAGGTGGACATTGAACCCACAGGCACAACAGGGGCAGTGACCCCACACACTCCATGGGGACACCAGCCCCACATGCACAGTGGGGACACCGACACCATGCGCTTGACGGGGACATCAGCCCCATGGACTTCACAGGGCACCGGCCCCACATGCATGATGGGCACACCAACCCCATACACTCAACATCACTGTCCCCATGCACATGGCAGGGACATCAAGCCCACGCACGCAACGGCACCAACCACACATACATGACGGGGACACCAACCCCACACATTCCATGGCACCATCACCATGCACATGGGGGGGGACACTGACCCCAGATACATGACAAGGGCATCACCTCAGCTGGGTTTGACCCCCAGCACCCCAGTCCCCACCAGAGCGAAACGGGGCTCCCTGGGGCTGCAGTTTGGGAGCAGCCCCACACAAGGAATGGAGAAGGGAGGGAATTATTTGCCTGTTCTCTTGCTTATGGCCTCGACGAGGCTGGAGGGGAAGTATCCGACGCGGTCGTTGCCGGTGCGGTTGTCGTGGATGCAGCCCTTCCATCGCCCGTCCGCGTGCTGCTCCAGCACCTGCGGGCACGGCCGGGTCAGGGGCCGGTGTCACCAGCGGGGCCCCCCGGCCCCCCCGGCCGCACTCACCGTGATCACGTCCCCGGCTTTCACGTTGAGGCTGGTCAGGTCGTAGTTGTTGCAATAATCCTTGATGGCCCGGACCTGCAGAGCGGCGGAAGCGTCTGCGGGAAGAGCGGGAATGGCGCTGGGTGCCCGTGGAATGGAATCATGGAACGGTTTGGGTTGGAAGGGACCCTAAAGCTCGTCCAGTTCCAACCCCCTGCAATGAGCAGGGACGTCTTCAACTACATCAGGCTGCTCAAAACACACCCAGATGATGGCACCTCCATCACCTGTGCCAGTATTTCACCACCCTCATTATAAAGAGCATTTCCCCTCTCATCCAGGCTCTATCCCCCTCTTTCAGTTTAAAACCATCACCCCTCATTCTATTGCAACAGGCCCTGCTAAAAAGTCTCTCCCCATCTTTCTTATAAGCCGCTCTTAAGAACTGAAAGCTGCTCTAAGCCTTCTCTTCTCCAAGCTGAACAACCCCAACTCTCTCAGCCATTCCTCAGAGGAGAGGTGCTCCATCCCTCCATCCCCAGTCCCCCCCCTACCCCGCAGCATCTGCTTGATCTCCTTGCTGGCCTGGCTGGTGGTGAACTGGTTGACGATGTCCAGAGCCGTTTGGTTGTAGGTGTTCCTGACGTGGGCATTGATCCCGCTCTGCAATAGCATGGAAAGAGCTTTGGAAGGCGCTGTCCTCCTCTCTGCCACCCCATCGGACCTCTTGGACCACTCTAAGACAGCTCCCTGTCCCCCCCAGCACCCTCCCGTCTATGAACACTCCGTGCTACATCCCCATCTGCGGGGTCACCCCCATCCCGCAGCGCTCTGGGGCGGGGGGGGGGGGGTGTTCTTACATCCAGCAGCAGCCGCACCACGTCGGTCTTGCCGCAGAGAGCCGCCTCATGCAGCGCCGTGCCCGCCTTGGTCTGCCGGTTGATGTCGATGCCCGCCTGGAGCAGCAGCCTGCAGCGGGGCAGGCGGTGGGCTCAGCCGGGGGCGGGGATGCACACACGGCTCCCGGTGCTGCCCCCTGCCCGCGGCACCCACCGGATGATGTCGATGTGGCCGTTCTTGGCGGCGAGGTGCAGGGGGCTGGTGCCGTTGGGGTCGGTGGCGTCCCCCGGCTTGGGCTCCAGCAGCGCCGCGCACATGTTGCTGTTCAGGAGCAGTTGCACCACCTGCAGCAGCGAGCACAGACGGAGCAGGGCTGCAACGGCGGCTCAGCCGCCTGCCACGGCCGCGGCCCCGCTCCCAGCCCTGCTCCTGCCCCCTGCGCGCAGGCAGAGGGCCGGGTCCCCACCACTGCCCGTCCCTGATGCTGCCCGGCGCTCCCCGAGGATGCTCCAGCATCCCCAGGGACGTCGCTATGTCCCCATCCTCTTCCCCTTGGTGTCCCCAGCCCTGTGAGCGCTTACCCCGACCCGCCCAAACTCGCACGCCAGGTCCAGAGGTGTCTTCCCGGAGTTGTCCATGATGCAGGGGTTGGACTGGTGCTGCAGGAGCATCTCTGACTGCGGAGGAGCGAGACCCCAGCTCGGCGAGGGCAGGGAGGGCAGCAGGGCCCCCCCGGCACTGCCGGCCCCACCGTACCACGTCGTAGTGCCCGTGCTGCGCCGCCAAGTGCAGGGGGATCTGCCCCTCATCCGACGGGATGTTCACGGAGGAGCCTGCTTTCAGCACCATCTTCATGGGCTCCTTCTTGCCTTGCCAAGCCGCGTAGTGCAGGGGCCGCATGCCTGTGTGCGGCCAGGCTGTGAGCCCCCCGGCGTGCCAGGGCACCCAGAGCCTGCAGAGGGGCAGGGGGGCACGGCCAGCACCCAGGGACTTGCCTTTGTTGTCCTTGATGTCCACCGCAGCCTGCGCCTCCAGCAGCAGCGAGATGAGCTCCGTGTTGCCATTAAGAGCTGCATGGTGCAGAGCTGAGAACCTGGGGACCAGCCGCAGCGTCAGGGCCCATTGTCCCTGTCCCCCCGGCAGCATGACCTTCAGTCTGCCCCCGTCCCAGCACCCCAGGGCACCCGCTCTGCATCCTGCAACCCCCCATGTGCGTGTGTCCCCAAGCTCCCTGCGTACACCAAGCTCTACCTCTCTCCATGGGCTAAAGAAGCTGCAGGGATTTATACACAGCCATGTTTGAGGCAGGAGCCAGCCACGTCCCAGTGTGCAACAAGGGCCAGCGGCTGGGATGTGCCAACATGGATGGGGCTTGGTCTCCAGCCCATCACGTTCCCTTGGGGCTCTGCAGCTGCAGGACAAACCCCACAGCCCATGCAGTGGGATGCAGAGATGGGGATGTGGCAAGGCTTGGAGCAGGGTCTGCTGTGCCTGCTCCAGGGATGCTGGAGCAAGATGGTTGCAGATGAAACACTCCCTGAGGATGCTGAGAAGACCCCACAGGGCTGGAGGCAGGGCAGGCACAGGGGGGGTCCCCACTGAGGATGGGAGTGCCATGGAGCTGCCCTCCCTCCCCACTGACCCACTTACCCCAGCCTAGCCCTGGCAGCACGGCACAGGGGGGACCCAGGCTGCCAGATGGCAGCGGTGCCCCTGCCCGGTGCTGGGGGAAGCCCCCGGTCCTACATCCCGCTCTGCTTCCACAGCACCCGGGATGGCTGGGCCACGCCGGGAGGCTCATGGCTGGGAAGCAGGCCAGGAGCTGACCTACTTGCTGCTCCCGGCAGCAGCATCCTCCATGCGGCTGCGCTCACACCCGCTGCCTGCTGCTGCTGCGGGCCCTGTCGCACACAGCATCCCCATCCCATCCCATCCCACCCCATCCCCAGGCCAGCTGGTGTCACTGGAGCACGGGAACACTGCGGACCCCAGTGGATGCCCCAGTGCCCAAGAGGCTGATGGAGCGATGATCCCATCTGACCTCCATCACCAGGACCCTGGTCAAGGGGGACACATCCGCTCTGGGTACCACGCTTCAGCCACCATGCTCCCCGCGGAGCTGCTGCCCGGGATGCGCTGCAGGAGCAGGGATGTGAGCAGACAGCTCCTGCGGAGCCGATCCCCAGCATCTGCTGGGGAAATGTCAGTGTTTTCCACTCCAGCGCCCAGCTCAGATCTGTTCAAGATGGTGCCAATCGCAGCTCCCCCCCGGGGCTCCCTCAGGGGCTCTCCCCTGGCACAGCCCATCCGGCTGCAATGGCCACACTCTGTGCAGGGCACTGTTCCCTGGGGACACGGGCACAGTGGGTGCTCACCCATGGCACCCACCAGCCCTGCAGTCAGCAAGAGATGGGGACCTGAGGCACAGCAATGGGACTGGATCCTTTCCAGGAGCATCACTGGAGGCCAGAGGTGGTGCAGGGCTGCTCCTGCACCCCCAAGCCAGCCAGAGCCAGAGCAGCATGTGAGCAGGGCCCTGCCTGCAGTTCAGTGGGCATCCTACCCCTACCACAACACAGCCCTGTGGTGACGTACATCACCCCATGGCGCAAGGTGGTCCATGGGGTGATGCATCCCCTTGCCCTGCCCCACATCACACCCTCCAGCCCCTGCCCCATGCAGGCAGCACCAGGCACCCTCCCCACCGCTGGTTGATGCGCTCAGATGGGGGCACGGATGCCTGCACACACACACACGCTCAGCTGCACATCTGCACGCTCGCATGCACCCATGCACGCGCACACGTGCTCATGCGTGGCTCAGCAGAGCTGATGTGCTGACGGTACCAAGGGATGCCCATTGCCATGGGGTGAGGATGAGGGACCTGGGCTGCTGCAGCCACGTGTTCTCCCATTCCTGACCTCATCCGGCCCCTCTGCTCAGCACCATTTCCATGGGCACAGCAGACCCATCCCTGGGGACCAAGTGCCATCGCCCAGCCCCATGTCCTGCCACCCTGCTCAGTGCAGGGGGACCGTGAGGGTGCAGGGGAGGCTTTGCCCATCCAGACCCCAACTCCACCGCTCCGGAGAGCCTGGTGTGCCCACACAAGACTTGCTCACTGCACCCTGCCATGCACACACCCCCAAGCACACGCACCCCTGTCCGTGGCACCCCGCAGCGCGCGCACCCCACCGCATGCAGGGCTCCCACTCACCCATCGGTGTCTTGGAAGTTGACGTTGACTTTCTTTGCGGATCCGAGGAGCTCTGTGAGGGAGGGAAGGGGACAGCACGTGAGGGCAGAGCAGCACAGGGGGTGGCCAGGGCAGGGAGCCGGGGTGCAGCCCCAGATCTCCCTCCCTGCCGTGGTTTTGGTTCCCTGCAGCTCCACACATTTCCCACCCCACGCTTGCCTTTGTGGGCACACAAAGCACCTCGGGGCGATGCAATCCCATTAGCACCAGATTTACATGAGATTTATCAGGAAAGTGCCACTCAGGCTTTGCAGCGAGCCTGCTCTTCCTCACAGCCCAGCAGCGACACGGAGCAGGAGGAAGAGGAGGGTGGCTGCAGCACGGCAGAGCCCTGGGGTGGGGATGCAGGCCTGGTACCCACACTGGAAGGGGCAGCTTCACGCAGGGAAGGGAGACGCGGAGCAGAGGGATGCTTCTGGTGCGTCATGGCCATGGCCTTGCTCATTGCCCCTGAGCTGTGTCTCCTGGTGAGCGTCCCGTTCATTGCGTGGCACAAAGGGCTGCGCTGGCAAACAGGGCACCAGCAGTAGGAAGAGTGGCTCTGACCCTTGAGCCTGGTCCATGGGTGATGGAGGGACCCAGGGGTGGCCAGGGTGGTGGCAGAGATTTCTCCCTTCCCATGCAGAGGCTCCCAGGCTCTGCACCCTCCTGCACCCCAGCAGCTCCCTGACAGCCCGAGCTGCAGGGCATTTGTTAATGGCACAGCCCTGTGCCAATGGGTGGGAACTACAGAGGAGGGCTTCAGAACAGCCAGCACCATCAGCCCCCATCCCCGAGGGGATGTGGGGGGGCTGTGGGCCCAGAACCACAGGATCCCAGCCTGGTTTGGGTTGGAAGGGACCTTAAAGCTCCTCCAGCTCCAACCCCTGCCACAGGCAGGGACACCTTCCACTGGAGCAGCTTGCTCCAAGCCCCTGTGTCCAACCTGGCCTTGAACACTGCCAGGGATGGGGCAGCCACAGCTTCTCTGGGCACCCTGTGCCAGCGCCTCAGCACCCTCATGGGGAAGAGCTTCTGCCTTAGTTCTAACCTAAATCTACCCTGTTTAAACCCATTATCCACTGCCAGCATGAAGCCGCTGTCCTTCAAGGGCCCTGGTGCTGGTGCAAACATGGGGTTGATTCTCCACCAGTGCCACACCAGCTCCCACCATCTAGGACCTTGCCTTGGCTCCTTTTGGGTGCCACCATCCACATGCTGGTGGCACCCTGCTGTCACATAGAACCAACCCTATGGAACCCCATCAGCACAGTGCTGCACCTAAAGCCCTTTCCCTGGCCACTTTGAATCCGTGCCAGGGCCTGAGTGCACCAGGATGCTCACGGCCTCTGCCACAGCTTTAACCAAAGTCAAACCACTGCATGGCTGGAAGTCACTGACTAAGCACTTGGCACGGGCACTGATGGAAGTGCTAAAGAGATTTTGGCAGCCACAACCTCTCCTGCAGGTGCAGGAAGGAGGGATTTGCTGCTCCGGTGTGTTTGGTCGATGATGGTGACGGAAGATGCTGGGGATGGGTGTTAAGGGATGCAGCACTGATCCCCAGGCATTGCCCCATCCCAATTCCTTCCCGGGAGCAACCCATGGTTAAAACCAAGCCCTGCAGACCTCCAGCTCTCTGCAAGGACCGGTTAACCCAAGCGGGGCCCGTCTTGGGGCTGGAGATCGGAGCCAGTGCTGGGCACGGTGCCGCTCCTGCGCCCGCCGGCTCCTTTTGTCCACATCCCTGGGGGTGCAGCTCGGCCCCCTTCTCCTGGGAGCTGTTTCTTGGCTCTGGACGGCAGCGGAAGCGGCGCTGGGCTCCTCTCCATCAGCACTGAATAGCACCTTTGTTGGGGAGCTTGGCCACAGCTCCGGGCTGGCGGGGAGCAGCTCACCCCGTCCGCTGCGGTCAGTCCTGATGCTGTGGGCTTCTGCCCATCAGCAACGTCCAGCTCTTCCCAGGGGAGCACAGGGGTGGGATGTGGGGGCTGTTCCCCCACAATGGGGACTTGTTGCTGGTGTGGTTTGTTCATGTGTTAAATGAACAGAGTGGATGCTCCATCACGTGGAGCTTGGGCTTTCGGCTGCTGGAAGGAGGATGCGAGGAGCTGGCAGTGGGCGCCCTGCAGTACCCTGGCCCTCCCCATGCCTTCAGGCCCCCGCTGGTGTCCCTGTCACTCCCTGTGACCCAGCAGTGGCACTTCTTAGGGATCAGGAAGAAAACTCTTCCCTGTGAGGGTGCTGGGGCGCTGGTACGGGGTGCCCAGAGAAGCTGTGGCTGAGCCTGGACCCCAACCAGACCCTTGGCACAGCCCCACTGCAGCTTGGAGCCTGCAATTCCCAGTGCAGCGGGAGCAGGACAAGCACCCAACACATCACCAGATCCACAGCCCGGGCTCACCTCAGCCCCACTGCTGCCGCCTGGGATCTGCAGCCTGGATTGGGAAGCGAGACATGGGAGAGCTCGGTAGTGGCTGGGAAGCACAAGGAAAACTCCTCCATTAACAAGGGAGAGGGAAGGGAGCAGGAAGGGAGCTGCCAAGTGAAAATACGAGCCACAAAAGGAGAGAACACGGCGGGGAGGAGAGAGCAGGGCTCCTGCACGGCCACGCTGCCAGCGGGCAACGAGTGTGCCCCTGGCCACCCTCCCTGCGGGATCACAGAGGGGTGACACAGAGCACCGAGCACCCATGAGCACCATCCTGCACAGAGGCAGGTGCTGGGGCCACCAGGCAGATGCTGAGAGGGAGCACAGGGAGGGCATTGGTACCCCCAGCACTGGGACCCCTCGACTGGACCCTCTCAGTGTCCTTGGGACACCTCAGTGTCCTCTCCTTGCTCGCCATGGGATGCTCAGCTGATGCTCTCCTTGCACCCCGCCCCATGGCACAGTCCCCCCACAGCTCTCAGAGCAGCTTGCAAAGGCCGATGGCGCTGAGCAGGGTCCGTGGGACCGCAGGGCAGGGGGATGCGCTGCGGGATGCAGCGAGCCCCAGCCCCGGCACCTCCAGCTCCATCCCGCAGCCCCTGCGTGCCGCGGGAGCCGCAGCCGCCTCCATAGGCACCGACTACACACAGCGCCTGCCGCGGGTGCACAGCGCCGCGGGGAGCGCAGCCCGGCCACGGCTCCAGAAGCGCCTCCGCTTGAGCACCGGGAGCACGGGAGCTGGATGCGCGCTCGGGTTCAGCCTCCGAGCCCCACACCGGCCCCGCACCGGCCACAGCCCCGGGGAGGGGGGGGGGGCACCGCGATGGCGGCCGATGCACGAGAAGGATGCACATGTGGGGTGGGCACGCAGGCAGAGCGGCTCTGACAGAACGTGGGGCCACCTGCGTGGCACCATGGACCCCAGTGCCGTGCACAAACACTGCCCTGGGTACCCCGGTGTATGCTGCAGGGAGAGCCCAGTGCCCAACCACTGCTCCGAGCATCCTCGTGCATGCCACAGGGATACCCCTGTGCCCAGCCACTGCTCCTGACATCCTGGTGTGTGCCATGGGGACATCTATGCCCAGCTGCTGCTCCTAGTGTATGCCACAGAGATTGCCCAGTGACCAACCATTGCTCTGGGTATCTCAGTGCACGCCACAGAGTGGCCACCACGCCCAACCACTGCTCCTGGCATCCTGGTGAGTGCCATGGGGAGACCGCTGCTCTCAACCACTGCTCTGGGCATCCCAGTGTATGCAGCAGGGAAAGGCCAGTGCACAACCACTGCTCCGAGCATCCTCACACATGCAATGGAAGTCCCCTGTGCCCACCTGCTGCTCTGGGCATCCCAGGGCATGCCATAGGGAGACCCCTGTGTCCAACCACTGCTCTGAGCATCCCGGTGCGTGCTGCACTGAGACCCCCATGCCCATCTACAGCTCCAGGCATCCTGGTGCACGCTGCAGGGTGACTCCCATGTACAATCACTGCTCCGGGCATCCCGGTGCATGCCATGAGGAGATCCCCATGCCCTGTCGCTACACACATGTCCAAAGCCACAGCCCCACACAATGGAACTCCTCAGTGCCTCGGGGTGGGGGGGGGCCTCTCCATCCCCAGCAGCGGGTCCATGCAGTGCTCAGGCGCCAGCCCCCTGCATCCGCAGGCAGAGCCGCGCCAGCAGCGATCGATGCCCATCCGGGGCGCGGGGGCTCCCGGCCAAGCCCCCGCTGACAAAGCACATCCCGGCTCCTGCCAGCTCGCAGGGAGCGGGGCTGCTCCAAGCAGATGGCTCCAGCCTCCGCGGTATCAACATCTACTTAATGAGGAGAAAACCATCGCTGCTTCCCCCCCCTTCTCTTGGTGGCAGTGAAGAATGAGCCAGGGCAATCCCCTACATCCTTATCTCCATCCTTTCCATCACCCTGCTGCAGTGGTCCCCTCCTCTCCATCCTCATCATCCCTGTCACCCCCTTATCCCCGGCCCATGTGGGCAGCAGGACTCAATATGTTCCCCCCCCCCGCCCCAAACACAGTGGGTGCCCTCAGGAGCAAGCACCCCTGAGGAAGGCAAAGCAAGGGAGGAGGACCCCGCAGCAGCATCGCCGTGAGCTGCCGGATAAAGGAAGCATCCAAAATAGCTGCTCTTAATTATATCCTTGCTGACGAGTGCCATGCAAACAACGGGCGCTGCACGAGGAGCAGGGGCAAAAGGGGGCTTATCCCCTCACAGGAGGGATTGGGGCCCCCATGGGGACCCCACAGAGGTGGACAGAGCATCCCCGACGCCAGGGAGCCGGTCCTTGCTGCTGACAGGCAGCAAGAAGCTTGTACTCTCGCAGCCAAGGTCGTGTCAAGCGCGATGCTCGGATGCTAATGAAGCCGTTATCGTCCTCTGATCGATTCGGGCTGTATAAATAATGCACCGGGAAGCTCTGGGACATGGGAAGGGATTGCCTGGGGCAAAGAGGTGGCAGGGATGGGGTGGGCCTATTGGAGTTCAGTTCCCAACACAGCTGGATAACAACTGCCCATCACAGCTGGATAATGACTGACCAGCATAGCTGGATGCACCAGTGACCACAACTGGACAACAACTC